ACAGCCAAATAATGGTTACAGAAGTAAGACTGCAGATTTTAATGAACTGTTTAAACTGTTTTCTTTTCTTACAGAGTCTGTCTCCACTGCCAGAGAGCTTGAATGACCTGAAAGTGTACACAAAAAGTTAGAAATTGAAATCCATTTTTCCTCATTATTTTCAGTTTACTATCTCCACTTACTCCACAAAATATTGACATTAAATTACAACAAAAAATGCATTCGTTTCAGAGAAAAAGCAAGACAAAAAGCAAGACATTAGGTCCTTCTGCTAGAAGACTTCTTCCCTGCAAGTCACAATAGTAAGAATTCAGCGAAGGTAAGCGAGAGGATGGGTGTGGACCAGCTAGGCAAATATTGGCTGAACTCTGCCTACCCTGGCTTATGTCAGACCCACTCCAGTAGCTGAGGCTAACTGCTTTTAAACATTCTTTCAATAACCTATCAATTTGTCTATCAGACAAGTTTACTCTGAACCACCGAAGGAAGCAGGAAAGCATAAGGAATTCTGTCACTGGAAGAAAGTTTTAACTCACAGGAATTTTGATAGGGAAATCTAAGACACATTTTAGCCCAGTGAATGTCGAGTAATAACTAATTCAGAAACTTGCTTCCTGATACCACCTTTTGGCTTGCCCTCTTACAAGAGTTCAGTTGACTTTGGGAGAAAACGTAGCAAGAAAGCCATAATCTCAATCGCAAAACAGTTCCCCCTCCCAGACGCCCTCCCCAACAAAAGGCTGAACAGCAGACTGGTCTAGGTGGCCAAATTCAGCAGCAAGGAAAACCACAGCTCATTTCCTTAGCCAATATGGTGCCAAAAGGAAAATTCTGTGGGTTTAGTAAGCAAGAGATAATTTACCAACCATATAAAAGCTGGAAAAATGTAATAAAATATTAGCTTTCCCATCTTAGCCAACTAAACCCTTAAAACCGTTCCCATTTATTTAATTTGAAGTATTGTTCGTGGTTTGTAACCCTTTGAAACGGTCCAAAGCTTGTAAAGATTAAGAAGTGGAAAAGAATCCCTAAGTCAGGTTATAAAAGTTTTTGGACTTTATCAAGTCCCAATAAATTCAGTTACCTTCTGGTCCTCCGTCCTGAAGCAATTCTTAACATAGTTGGCAAATTTGGGTTCCAACTTAGGAAGGGTAGCACCCTATTTTGAAAAAAGCAAGCGTTAGTGTATGCAGGTCATTTAATGATTCCAATAAAAAAAGAAAAAACTTATGAAGCTTAAATCCTTTGCAATACACATGGAAATTTACTGAACTTACCTTGCAACATCCCAAACCAATCTGCTTTTAAACTATTTATAGAAGTTTGCTTCTCTGCAGTAGCCAGGTATTTGCCACAGGAGTGCCCACACACCAAAATGGCTGTAGAAGTATCATTGCTCATGCTCAAAAATGTAACAGCAAGCATTCACCACTTGAGATAACCTTGTTTGTACTCAACATTCATGTGTTACTCAGATAAACTAGAACTAATTCCATATTTATGGATTCTTACTCCTGCATACAGCGTGAGACATTACTGACCTTCACAGGTAGGTTTCCAACTTTAACTCTCTAAAGCAAAAAATGAACTCATCTCCCACCTACCCCTAAAAGACCCATTCTAATGCAGTACATTTAGGAATTTAAAGAATTGTTCTAGAGGTGTTTACTGTATCTCTGCAATTGCATTTGTACATACCCAATGTACAAAGCAGATTCAGTAATTCAGGGATCTAGGTTTATCTTCAGGTCTTCTATCTCCAGGCAAATAATACAGTACATTATTTTAAGAGACAACAATTAACTTTCACATGCCCATAATATTTTTCCCATTTTTCGGGGACATCAGTTGAAATATGCTATGCCCATTATGACAGTACACTTAGCTGCTACCCAGGACATTGCAGAAGACACAGCAATTTTATCTTCAAAGGAAACAAAGCTACATTAGGAATATTTGAAACTGCAATACTGCAACCAAAACCCTTGGATTTGGATGATGTCTTACCTCTGGATTCTGTCAAGCAGTGATGCTTTTCTATTAGTTTGTTGACATCTACTTACTACACAATACAGCAGATCCACTCTTTAAAGGCGCTAACTTGCCATCTGTCAGCTAGAAGTGCTGTTGTATACAGCAACGCACAAACCTTTTGCCTTACACTAAGGTATGCTCTAGCACCATCTTGGAAAACATTAAGTTCAGCTGCCTGCTATTGCTTCTACATATTTGTGCTTACACAGCGTTTCACAGCACAAAACTCTTCAGCAACAGAACATATATTCTACTTGCCAGTTACCTGGTCTGCAGGCTTCCCTCCATAGGGACATCAGTCTACTGTGAGCAGCTCAGCTACTTCTGCTTGTGCTGCAGAAACAGCACTGATTGTGGCTCCTCTCCGTCATGCAAAAAACCACCCTAGCACCTGCTAGATCCAAGAGGTTAGTTTGACCTAGCAGAATGACACCATCCATCCCGTCGAGTTCACAATTTAGGGATATGTATTTCGATCCTGATCACAAGCAGTCATTGCTCACTCTGCATCCACTCTATATTGAAACCCTTTTTGTCTTATTTTGCATTCCTGAGACAAAACTGCCTCAAAACATCAAGAATCTAAGCAGAAGATAATCCTTATTCTTCAGGTGACTTGATCCCTGAGAGGGAAAGTTTATCATCTCAGATCAAACTAAAAAAACCCAGATTCTTCTTAACACTTACATCAGTGCAGGCTTTAGCCAAAAATAAGTCTCCAATAAAGAACCCAGTTCAGTCACAAATGAGCTTATGATCTATGAGCACACTCCTGAGAGCTCAGGAAGAAAAGCAGAACTCGTATCATCTAGGTGTCGGGTCCTCACCACCACCTATCCTGCAGCACAGGTATGCACTGAACTGCACCCCTAGCTAGCACACAGGTTTCCAAACTTGGCTAAGGAGGAAAGAATTGCTCTCACCTGCTACACTTTTACCCAGACAGCCTATAACTAAAACGCATTTTCTTTTCTACATTTAAATAGCAGTGAAGAATACTATTCATATGCATAACTGAAGTGCTAGTCAAAGCAGATAACAACCAAAAGCCAAGTGATTGACCTGTGACCTTCAAAACATTATTAACCCCAGATCTCCATTTCAGAAAGCAAATGCTTTCAGGTCTTCCATTGATTCACTAATGCATAGCACAAGCACCTATCTCCCCCTTCTGGAAGTTATAAAGCCCTACAAGCACCTGAATACCGAAGTTCGGTACTTCTTTAATACCAAGCAATTCCAAGCATGTGAAGAACTCTGCTTTGCTCTAGTTGCCTAAAATAAAATGTGTACAGTAGCTACGACAGCTTTAGACTAAATATCGCCCAAGGTTCGTTGCTTTGTTTTTTGCTTTGTTGCAGGGTTTGTTTGTTGTTTTTTTTTAATTTTAACTGAGACAATTCATGAAGAAATATGAAATTACTAATCACCACTACTGGAGGAATACAAAAACAAAGTAGGTGTTTGTTTCTCATGAGTACAGAGGTTTCTTTTTATCCCAAATGAGTTTTCATTTCTCTAAGCTTCAACACCAATATACTCCAGTAACAGCACAGCAATCAGTGACACGTAACCATTTCTTACATTCCAAAAACTCACCTTATCTACAGACGCTTGCATTTTTGCTTTAATCTCCTCTAACGACAGAGGGACTTTTGGTGTTTTTGGAGTTAGAGATTTATCCTTCTTGGAATCTGGAGTCTGAAAATTATTAATTTCATTAGAACTTGCACATACATAAAGCTGCTTAGTATACAAGATCAAGTTTTCTAAAAACATGACTGTTATGCTGTAGAATTTATAGAGAAGAACTAGCTATCACAGAGATACTTCGGACAGTTCTCAAAGTCACAGAATTCAAATTTGTGCTTCTATCACATTCCTCAGACAAGGAAAAGAACAACATTTAAGTTTGGAGTTACTACACCTAGCACAGATACTACTATCTTATGCTTCTGAGCACATGCCTACACCGCTCTTTCTCCCAGCAATGGAACTGAAAATAACCCAAACTTCCAGTGATTTAGAGTTTACTCCACAAGTGCAGCCAGATTAGGTCATGCTTTACAAGGCACACATCTGCACTGCTTTTCAGATGCTATCCTGCCACCCATCCACCCCACACTCATTTCTGTATCAACCTTCCGGGCACGCACGTTCAAGTACATGCAGCAAGGAAAAGCTGCTTAAGGAAGCTTGACCGCTAGAGAGGAACTGAACAAGAAAACTGTTAGTTCCCAAATGGATCAATTAAGTGAGACTTCCTTATCGGCAGCAGCCTGCTGCTGTACTGCAGTGGCAACACAGTTGGCACTCATCCTCTTATACAAGCAGCTACAATAGACTTGTGTTTTAAACTGTGGGATCACCAATACTCACAAGGGACAGCGTGTCTGATTTTGAATCCTGGCTGTTGTAGTTATATATTGATCACCAAAGAGCTTCACAGGAGAACACGAAGCAATGAACAGTATCCCCAGCATGCTTCACGGTAAGACTCAAAAACCTAACTTAATGGTTAGTACATTATTTGAAATTACTGTTAGGTGAGAAAACTAGCTTCCGCACTAGAATAAGCATTTCTTTTACTCATTTGTCTTCACTCACTTTTGATTTAGATGCTGGTGTGGACGGCTTAGAGTCTTTTCCATTTTGCTTTGCTTTCTGCATATTTTTTCCTGAAACCTCACGAACAGGCTGAAAAGAAAGCATTTAATTCATTTGCCATGAAAAACAGCTACTAAATGTTAAGCTTATTGACATAATACTCACAACTTAGTGACAAATACTTATTATTTAAAAGGCATTCTCATTGCCCATGCAACCTGACCAGTGTCTATTATTTAAGAAAAAAGCATGTATGCTACAGGAATTCAAATGAAAAATGGTTGGTGCAGCACAAGACATAACATAACCAAGATCAAGTTTTGTTACGATCCCATACAACTATGTATTTTCCTGATATATTACATCTTTTCTTATGTACTACCATACAGAGTTTTGTGGGGCAGATATTCCATAAGACTAATTCTAGATGGCACCGCAATTCCAATTCCAACATCTGTCTCACTGCTACTTGTTTTCTGTAACACAACCATCACCTCTTGTTTGGCATCTCAGACAGAAGTATCCGAGAAGTGTGTGGGCAATGACACATGTATACTTAAGAACTGGATTCTTCTATTCCTATATCAAGGGACCATTTATTTCAGCCACACTAGGTTTGATTAGATGGCAGGAAATCTGCAATTCAGACTATCACCTATAGAAATTCATTAGAACAGAACAGCATACAGTGCAGTAAAACATTAAGTGTTTGTTTCTAAACAGCATATATGTAAATATAAATTCAAGCTGAATTATGCCAGTTCAAAAAAATTAGTACCTTCTACCTCTGCAGTTGCCAAGTTGTCTTACATTTTATTTTACCACTAGATGGCACTCAAGGGCTGATGTGATTTTACATTTGAGCACTTGGATGCCTGAAACGAACCTTTTCCAATGGGCTCACGCATTTAGATCCTCTTTCTATTGGAAGTTAGGTTGCTAAATAAAACTTTTTCACAGCGTGCAGGACGAACTGAAACAGCAAAGTACAACCTACATCTCTGAGCAGGACTTTGCTTGCTGTCCACATACATGAAACCATGCCAGTCAGACAACTGCACGTGCATATGCACACTGTTAAGAACACAGCCACCCCTCTGCAGCAAAGTATATAAAACATGGCGTAGATGTGCATTCACACTGAAGCATTCTAATGTCCTACTAGAATTTCTTTATACTGACCAAGCCAAACCAAAAGCATCCCATTCACACATTACAAATAGCTGTGCTTAAATGCATTGATTCAAGACACTACGTGCCCGATTACTGTCATCCCTTGTATTATTATCTAGTCCATTACAAAACAGAACACTGAACAAAGAGGAGGACGCTTCAATTAGCTTCTGCATTACAATGAATGCAGAGTTCAAACCTAAGCAGCCACCTCACTTAATGCAAACACAGTTTTCCCCTGCTTCTGCTTTAGGGATGTTCATATGAATCCTCAAAGATGACTCAAAATCAGGACAGTTAATTAATACCTATCAGTAAGTTAAGAGGTGTCAGTACTTGCCCCTCCCGTCTGACTAAACTTAGCTGCAGATATTAAGTCCATCTGGTGTCATCACTCACTTCCTTTCAAGTTCACTAAACAGGCTGTTTAATCCTTCATAGGTGAAGAGGGTCACAATGTGTGTATATATACACCACTTACTTTCTTTATTGGTGTTTTCATTTCTTCCTCATCATCCTCTAAGTCATCCTCATCCCTACAATTAGAAAGGTAGTCACCATAACTCAAGATTCATACCCACAGCTTTAACCACATTAGGAACGTCTTCCTCCTCCCCCCCAATAAAATGCTTTATTCATGAAGGAAGCAAGTCATCTTCCCAAGTCTACCTTATACCTTGTTTTAACACATGGCAAGGTGTTAGACCAGATACTCTACTTAATAAAGTTAAGTGCGCTCCTTTCTGCTTTAATACTGAAGGCATGTATCTTAGGTCCTCCACTACTAATAATAAAGAAGTTCTAAATTTATTAGAAGTTAACTAATTACACGAAACTAAGTTTTATAACCCAATATGACATATTTGAACAACGCTTCTTTAGATTGTATTGCAGAGATAAAGTTGAGGTAATTCTGCTTTTTTTTGTAGCCAAAATAAAAAAAAAAAGTAGTTCATTCACTCCACATCCAGTTATGTCACACAATTCGTATTCTGGACGCTTACCCTGTATTTCAAAACACGTTATCAAAACAAGAATACATACTCATCATCATCATCCTCATCTTCATCGTCGTCCTCATCGTCTTCTGATAATTTTTTGCTTTTTTCTTAAAAAAAAAAAAAGTATGTTAACTGTCAATACCATTTTGTCTTAATAAACAGCAACTTTGATTCAAAACAATTTGTGGCATAATCACAAGACTATCTTCCATCAATTTAGCTAAAATCAACAAGTTACAGCTGAGAAGTCAAAAGCTATTGACAAATCTACAGCACACCCTCAGCATATGAACCTTTCCTTCTACATTACAGAGCTACAACAGCATTTAAACCCTTGCAGTACGCTGATTATTATATTGGAGTCTGCACATAAACTAGAATCTTCCATGTAAAAGTAGCCTTCTTATTAGCCCCTCCAGCAAAGGTCTGGAAACTATCTGTACTTAACCGCACTTCCATAATTTAGTACTCATCAAGACCCAAGTACAAAATAATCCTTCCCCACAGATTTCAAGAGACCCCATATTAAGTAAATCATCGCAAGCCATCTAACTGCTTATTCCTAGAGGCAGCATTAACACCAAGGAAAATTCTGCAGGCAAGCTAACTGAAAGCATATATACCTGTGGTGTTTTAGCTCCTCCTCCACTTGCTGGTCTCTTTGTTGAAGTGTTCACAATTTTTGCATCATCTTCCTCATCGTCTGATTCTGGTTCTTCCTCTAATGCTGATAAAATGATGGCAATGTGTAAAAAAATCCACCTCGTTTAACAATATTTAAAACAAGATTGCCAATAAGAAACAAAGGAGTATCACCCACACCTAAATAGGTCTTACTGAGGTGCTGAAATGATAGGAGGAGGCAGTCTAAACACCAAGAAACTTTTCCAGGTGACTGTATACAGATACTACTACACTGAAATCCAAAATGGGCAAACAACCATCTATGCACTGCCCGTAACACTCCTTATAAAAAAGAAGCCATAGAAAGTCAAGAATAAAGTTTTCTTCATTTCTAAGGAGGCACATATAAATGAACTTCTAGAAAAAGATCAGTCTCAGACAATTCTACAAAGGAGAAGAGTAGTCCTGGGTTAGTTTTTAGCACAACTTGAAACTATTTCATGGGCAGTCTTCTCACTCTCAACTGATAAAGCTCACAGCTTTCTGCTGTGAGACACTAACACCAGGAACCTAACATCCATTTTTAAGGAGAGAATTGAGAAGCGGAACTGCCAGGCTGCCAAACTCCCCTTATCCATTCAAAACAAGAGGCAAGAAAAGGTATGCAAGCACTTCTCTGAACTCCTTTGTCCCAAAGTCACCTCATGCCTGAGACAGTGAATTAAAGATTCAGAGGGTCCGTATTAGAGAAAGTACTGCTTGAGATACCAGATACATCACAAGTTCTGTTGGTGCTGACAGGTAGCAAGATCACAGCTTAGTAAGCAGAGTAACACATACCTACGAGATGTTGACCACTGACGTAAACAGGCCCTGAACCACACTTCAACCTCAAGACCACTGGCGGTGTGATCTCAAAGCCACCTAATGAAACCTAAGGAAAAAAAAAAGGACTGTTATTTATCCAAATAGTAAAGGCAAAGCGTGCTTAACAGAATCCATTCAAATGAAACCAAAAGTTCCAAAGCTAGTACAGTTACTCCCAATTTCCATCTGACAGAATATTCCAGAAGTGTTTAGAGTCAAATCAGGGTCAATATGCCACAACAGGGTTTACTACACACCCATTGCTTATCACAATTAACATGTTTTTTTCAAAGCCCCATTTGTTTCTACTCCTGTTGGCAGCAATGCCAATTTGAACATTATCCATCACACCTGCCCCCACCATTGTGCAGTTTCACTTGTACAACATCAACACCACTGATTTAAATTATATTCCAGAT